ATTGTAGAATTGATGCTTCAAGGCACTTCTGCCTTGGTGGCGATAGAGAAACAGGTACAGTAACAGGAGAAGGGGCAAGAGAGATTGTCCATTAGTTAATCAATAGGGAATGTAGTCGTTCTCTTAGATGGATAGAAAAATAAAAATGCTAAAATGGATCAGAAAGTTACCAAAACATTCAGTCTTCAAACACACTGTACAACTGCATACAAAACCATTTTTATAGTCATTGTAAGTCAGACCTCATCCACATTACAAGTGTTACATTTGCCATTTTATCTCACTGCCAGAAAGAAAAAAAAACAGCATACCAAAGAGTCAAAATAAAATACTTAACAGCATTTCATTTGTTGTAGATTATGGAAAAATAAAAACGTACCTATTTATCTATCAAACTATGCATACAGATGAATAGAGATATATGTATGTATGTAGGATCACTAATAAACATGTACTTGCAACCTCCAGGACAGAAAAATGAAGCAAACACCTCTGCAGTCCCTTGAATGACCAACTGAGGCTGGTTCCACAAGTGAGTCAATCCTCTTACACCCCCCATTAAAATACTCAACTTTGCAGCAGAAATAAACATGTTTGCAACCTGGTACAAAATATGGTTTTGGTCTCTATAGCTAATTTCCCCATCCATGACAACTGAACAGGGGATGAATTTCTAACTCACCCATTTAAATTTTATTAAGGTCTCAAGCCGTGCATATTTATGGGCATTCACTTTTCATGTCACTCAAATTCTGGCTCTTTGCTTACTTGCAACATATACAAGTACTTAATCAAACCACTATATTCAGTCATGTGTGCACATGAATGAGGAGAATTACTACTACTGAAGCGCTTCACAGCAAAGTACTTCCACCTGAGTCCCACATTAGGTGACTATGGCTGCCAGTGGGCACCCACCACATGTGTGAAGCCAAGAACTTTTGATTGCATTTTGGGTCAGTTTTAACCCCCCATGAAAGCCCTGGCTACAGATTTAACAAGTGGCCCCTACAAAGTCCATTGTCTTCTTGTGTGCATCTTTCTTGGCTAACATTAACTTGCAGCAATCAGCATACCCTAGTAACAAAACACAGCCTAACTGATATACCCGTTCTTCTAAAAACCCCAAATGCTGATGGTGCGATGCATACATGAAACCCCTCTGCAAAATACAGTGCCCAGTGCAACGTGTGGAAAAAACATGAATGGCTGCGTATGAGACTGGCTAGGTGGCTCAACTTTATCCAGCTCATTCCCTAGCACTACCGAGCGCTGCTGGCTGATAACCTAATAACATCGCAATAGTTTTATCTGTTGAGTCTAAAACACTGAAAATACAAAGCACAATCTCACTCTGGTGGCTAACATGTCCTAGGTTGATACATGTGTTGTGTGTCGTTTTTAAAAACTAATGATTAGTGGTTAGGTAGCGGGGAAGAAAAACGCCCCCCCACCCTCCTCCATGTCTGCCGAGTAACAGTGAGCGTGATTTACAGACTGCATTCACAGAGAGACACTGCGCCAGCCGCAACTTTACACACATGCAAATAATGGTAAATAAAATGTTTTTTAAGTCTCCGAATCAGATTAACAGTCCACAGTTCCTATATGTCCTGCCCAGCTTCACAAGAAAAGCGTCGAAGCCAGCATGCTGCACACCATTTTTGCATCATGCCTGCACATGCTGTAACGTTAGCCTCGCACGCTGCATCAAATAGGCTAGTCAACGAATGCTAAAATAAGTTAGGATAATGCGATTTCACTTGATCTGGCCACAATTTCACTTGATCTGGCCACAATATCTTACAATTCACAAAAAACGTGAGCAAGCAGGCGAGTCAGGCGGCCAGCCCCATACAACCACAGGGCAACATGGCCGGCGTGTTTTCCCTCTACAGCTAACGTGAGCCTTACCTTTACAGAGAATGCTTCGAAGCGCTTGAATGGGCTTACGGTAGGCCCGAGTGAAGACACTCTAAGTGACCGTCGGTTGTGGACGAGTACCAAGTCGAAGAAAGGCAAGCAGCCACACAAAACTAACCGAGGACTGAGAGGCGTGCTTTGGGTCGACTTTCTCTCAATGTGCTTTGTAGAATAACACAATAGCCTCAGCGTCGCTAACAACCAGGACCGCCCGCGTTATCTTTTTTCCCCCAAGAGTGTTCGGACTAGTCCCGCCCTATTGTGCTGTGATTGGCTACTTTTACTTTGCAGCGATTGGTTAGTACTCTTTGGGTCGAAAAGGTTCTGTGACACGATAGGGCAGAGGTATGGTAAGTTCTACCCAATCACAGCACTGTGCTGTGATTGGGTAATAATGCTTTGCAGTGATTGGCTAGTACTCTTTAGGTCGAAATGGTTCTGGGACGCGGTAGGGCAAAGATGGTGTTAAATCTATCCAATCACACCACAGTAGGACGGGGCTAGGCGAAACAATGCTGGGGAAAAAAATCGCGCAACTGAGCCCGTTCTGCCCGCCAACAGCACCACCGGACGTTACGTCATCTGACGTCATAATAAAGTAGGCAAGGCATTGTGGGAGGCGAAGTCTTTGCCCGTTATGACTCTATCTATCTATCTATCTATCTATCTATCTATGGGCCTACTTGAGTTCAAATATTCCTTTTTGAAATATCTGGTGGAGTAGAACTGAACCAGTAAGTGTAAAAGTAGCCTATTCAATGACATTATCTTCCACCTTTGGTGGGCTACTGATAAATCTACTGCTGTTACTACTACAAGTACATCTACTTGTTGACTTGCATGCAGTGAGCTCTCACTTGTTCAAGAGCTTTTAATTTGAAGGTGAAAATAAAGTTTTCAGTCTCTCCTCCTGCCAAGGAGTTCTAGTTCATCAGAGCTGATGCCAGCATGTGTTTATTCCTCCACAGTTACTTTCTGTCTAGCACTGAGTGCTCACACTACTAATAGTAAGAATAGAAATAATTCATAATAATTCAATTTATGTATAACCAACAAAACAACAACCCGTGACCACATCACCCCTGTCCTTCATAACCTCCACTGGCTCCCCAGTGTATCCACTTCAGTCTACTCATCATCACTTTCAAAGCTCTCCACAATGTTCAAAACTGCCCACAACCTCTGAACTCAGTGTACTTCGCCCTTTCTGGACTGGATTGTTTTTTGTTTTTTGTTTTTTTTATTGCTGTTGCAGCTCTTTGTAAAGCGTCTTTGAGTATCCTGAAAAGCGCTAAACAAATCTAATGTATTAATTTATTATTATTAACAATAGCTTATTAAATGCTTGTGATACTATGGAGCTACATTAGGGTCAAATGTTTTGTACTTGAAAAAATAAAATTTGAAACTGAAAATTCATGTGTTGATCTTGAATTTTGAAAAATACAACAATATATTCAAAATAAAAAATAAGTATGAAACGTTTTTTCAGGTTAAATATAATTTTGATTCACTTTGGTAATTCTTTTGAATGAATAATTTATTTTCACTTTTCACTTCCATATGTATTTTTGAGGTCTTGTTTTTTTCAGTTGCATGTTTTATCTTTTCAGATTCAGATCTTATTTTTTACAGTTTCAAATCTTATTTTTTCACTTTCAAGTCTTTATTTCACTTTCAGATCTTTTTTTTTCAGTTTCAAATTTGTTTTTTGAGTTTCAGACTTTTGACCCTGATGTGGCATGGGGGGCGTGGCATCAACTGAGAGGGGTGTGAAATCATGAGTGACAGTGCCTTCAGGGAACGTAGGAACTAAAAAAATTCTGACTCAACACTTATATACACCATATTCATGTGACTGGCAGTGTAAAAATTGATGCCAGTGACAAACTTCCATTTAGAAATCTGTTTTAGACAGTACTGAGCACCAATTGCGGTATAAGAGCAATAAATTAAGCCAGATTTTGCAGATCAACAGCCACATTTAAAGTGCTGATATGTCCGAATTCCACATAGCACTGTGAACGCAGCGTAGTGTCCACTTTGCGATGATGGTGTCCGGTCGGTCGGGTCAATCTGCTGGAGCCCAAACATCCAGCACACAGGTGAGAAATGTTAATTAAGTTTTGGGAAATCATAACAAATATCACAAAAACGACCCCTTAATATTTGTTATGATTTCCCAAAACTTAATTAACATTTCTCACCTGTGTGCTGGACGTATGGGCTCCAGCAGATTGACCCGACCGACCGGACGCCATCATGCAAGCAAAACGGACAGTACGCTGCGTTCACAGTGCTATGTGAAAATCTATAGAGCTACATTAGGGTCAAATGTTTTGTACTTGAAAAAATAAAATTTGAAACTGAAAATTCATGTGTTGATCTTGAATTTTGAAAAATACAACAATATATTCAAAATAAAAAATAAGTATATGAAACGTTTTTTCAGGTTAAATATAATTTTGATTCACTTCGGTAATTCTTTTGAATGAATAATTTATTTTCACTTTTCACTTCCATATATATTTTAACATTTGAGGTCTTATTTTTTTCAGTTGCATGTTTTATCTTTTCAGATTCAGACCTTATTTTTTCACTTTCAAATCTTTTTTTCACTTTCAGATCTTTTTTTTTTCAGTTTCAAATCTGTTTTTTGAGTTTCCCTGATGTGGTGTGGGGGGCGTGGCATCAACTGAGAGGGGTGTGGAATCATGAGTGACAGTACCTTCAGGGAACGTAGGAACTAAAAAAATTCTGACTCAACACTTATATACAGCATATTTATGTGACTGGCAGTGTAAAAAATGATGCCAGTGACAAACTTCCATTTAGAAATCTGTTTTAGACAGTACTGAGCACCAATAAATTATGCCAGATTTTGCAGATCAACAGCCACATTTTAAGTGCAGATATGTCCGATTTCTATGGAGCTACATTAGGGTCAAATAGAGTTCGGCCATTTCCCACAGCCAAGAAGTGATGATGTTGAAAATACAGAGGGAAAACAGGCAACACTAGATCCACCCACTCAGTTCCCCATTTAATACTTCCACTTTTAATGGTTAACACTTTGAATGTGTTATGTCTAATGATGTGACAGCGGATCATAAGGTCAGTGGCCATTTATTTCTATTAAAACATAGAAGTAGGTTCAGATGGACTCAGTCAGGATGAACCCTCTAAATAACATCTGGCTTATGTGTTTTGATTTAGGTAGCCTACATTCTTAAATATTATTTCTACCCATTTCCTTTTTGGTTGAGTGATGAAAGAAAAGATCTGGATGACTTTGACTGACTTATCTACATATGTTACTTTATGCACAGGGTTAAAATCTTCTTCCTAAAAAGACATAGTGGTAGGGATCTTTTTACAGTGCAGTTTTTCTTTGAGAGTTCAGGGGCGGCAGGAGCTCAGTAGCTCCATAGGGACTTGGGTTGGGTTGGTCCCCGTCCGGACCAAAATACGGAGTGTGGACTGGTGGCTGGAGAGGTGCCAGTTCACCTCCTGGGCACTGCCGAGGTGCCCTTGAGCAAGGCACCGAACCCCCCAAACGCTCGGGGCGCCTGACCAAAGGGCAGCCCCCTCACTCTGAGATCTCTCCACTTTGTGCATTTATAGGTCCTGTTTGTGCATGTGTGTGTCTTTCAGACCTGTGTGTAACTGAGAGTGAAAACACTGAATTTCCCCTCAGGGGGATTAATAAAGTGAATAAACTTAAACTTATATGTTATAGTAAATCACATTACCTACAGCAAGACAACATCATTTTTTTTTCAAGACAGTTTCTGGAAAGTTGATTTTCAACATTAATTTGTCAAAAGTTCAATTGGAGATTGTTGTACTGTAATGCCTGTGTGATCCGATAAGTGCTGAAAAGGCTGGCTCAAGTCCAAAGGAGACAAAGCCTGTTGACAAACTGGGCAACTGCTTGTGTGTTTCACCATCTTGTGGTGCTGCCATTACTGCTGTGGGAAGTCACAGTGTCTATTGCTGCCTGCTGACAGTGACAGCAGCAAAGGTTTCAGGGATCATCTAAGCTAATTGATGACAAACTTTGGCATAAAATGTAGATATCATTGACTGTCTGCCAAATAATCTTTCCACGGTTAAAAAAAAAAATCACTCCTACAAGCTGCTGCTGGTCAGCTGCGTTGACTCTAAATACGCTAAATGTGTCCACAGTTGACCGTAGTACTTAGGGAAATGGTTGGCATAGATAACAAACATGAGTATGTATTTAAAATTGAAGTTAAACTAAAGTCTTTTAAGGGACACCTACATGTTCTGATCCATGTTTTTAATAGCTGTCGTCACTATGAGAGCAATCATAACGCATTCAACTAAAAGTCATAAGTTAACACCCATTGTTAGTCCTGAACACCAGACAACATTGCACATGCTCTGTTTGTGATGCAGACCGAATGATGTTTACTTTGTGGTCATTAGAGCAACTAACATTGTATTTCACAGTAACACCACAGCTGGTTGATTGAGTTAATTTATTCTGTGGGACCCATAGATGTGTAATAATACCTGGATACCGGATTCTAAGATGGTGCCTATTCATTCCAAAGGAGTTGCTCTCTTGTTGCTTACACCAAACAAGGCTATTTCATGAAGGCTGGGACACACTGTTTGACCTCATGGGAGCAATGGGGTCTGAGACATCGTCAGTTTGAGTATCATTCAAAAAAACATTCCACCTTTAAAGTTGCCAGTAGCTGCAAACGGTAGCCTTTGAACAGCAAAGTGATTAATTATTTTTTCTCAGAATATAGATAGCTGCCTGTTCACTAGACAGACGAAAAGGCAGCAAGACTCTCTTTATTTGAAATGATGCTGCAAATGTGTGGAGGGGAAGAGAGCAGAGTCAGCATCAGTCTAGCATTAGGACCCAGGTAAGGAGGTTCCCAGGTATAAACATTAACTTGGGTCTTCTTCCTGCATTGCAACACACCTGAGAGAGTGCAGCTGAAGCCAGTCCTTGTTGCCTTGGTTGTGACTTCGTATAGATTCTTCATGTGAGGTGAGGGACTGAAACTTTAATGATTGTTTAGGCACAAGAAACGTGGTGTGCTTAAGTAGAGTATTGATTTTGTGTACGCCATCTTGGGCACACAGTTAAACTGTGTTTTTTCCAGTCACCTGCGCGTCTCTAGTTCAGGGAACCATGTCGTAGTTCATCAAGGTAGATATCCATTTGATTATTTAATGCTTTGTGTAATGTTTGTTGTCTCCTCCTGTATTTTGGTGTACTTTTGCTTTGTGCTTCAAAAAGCCAAAGACCAGACTATTAGTCAAGCCAACACAGTTTTTTCATTTTAAGCCCATATCAAACTAGAGGTACAGCTCTAAAGATGGCAACGTTGGTCAGTCAGCGCACCATGGTTTTAGTCTATTAAAATGACAGTGTTGTCACACCTATTTTTCAGGATACCACTCAACTGTTAAATATTCTCTCTAAACAGAGACAGGGGGTTTGTTGGTGCCCAGTAAATCACAGAAGGAAGTTACAAGCTGACATTTTCAGAACAAAATGGAACAGGCTGGAGTGAGAGTCTTTCTTGATGGGATATTATTTAAAAAAGTGAGTTTGTGCATTCCCAACAGAGTGGTGACCACAAAATGCCAACAGTACAAAACCGTTCCATTGGTATCATCCACAACTTTTCACAATGGAAACGCAAAAAAAGCGTACCGAACTGAACTGAACTGTACCGTACTGCTCAGCTGAAACATGGCTTGAAATGTTACAGGATACTTCAAATGTACTTGATGATATACAGTACTACCTCTTGAAGCTCATGGAGAGAATGCCAAGAGTGTGCAAAGCAGTAATCAGAGCAAAGGGTGGCTATTTTGAAGAAACTAGAATATAAAACATGTTTTCAGTTATTTCACCTTTTTTTGTTAAGTACATAACTCCACATGTGTTCATTCATAGTTTTGATGCCTTCAGTGAGAATCTACAATGTAAATAGTCATGAAAATAAAGAAAACGCATTGAATGAGAAGGTGTGTCCAAACTTTTGGCCTGTACTGTATGCCAACTCCATCACGCTGCTGGTCTTTTACTGATGGCAAAACAGGTTTGTCCATGTTGTCAGCAGAGCAACACAGAGCACCATGACATTTATATTCTTCAGTATGTGTGGTCTCGTTGATATATCAATATTACTACAGTCAGTTGACTGAATGGAAACTGTCAGATGAGGCAAATGCTCATGTAAACTTTGCACATTCAGTGAGAATACTGTGAATGACTGAATGCTCATTTGGAGTCCTTTGGTATGGGGTACAAAGGCTGCCTACAGAGCTTTTGTGTTGTGTTTTATAATCCTCGTAACTCCTCATAATATGCACAGTGTGATTGGTTGATGCCTTTATCTGCAAAGTGAAAGCTTGTTGCGCAACATTACTGTATGAAAGAACTTAATATAACAATACATACAAAAACAACAGTTCAAAATAATACATTGATGTGTGAATTAATTGCAATAAAAAATGTGCCATGGCCTTAAGTCCAGCAAGTTATAATCTACTGTGGAAATCTTATCAATCTTTTCAAATCTTATCTGTTACTTACTGAGTAACAAGTGAGGTATTGACCTTTACCGCCCTATACTGTAGGTGTGTCTGGAAGTTCCACATATTTTCCTGTAGACTTTGTGTTATGTATTGTGCTAGCCCCTAAACTGAATGGAGGAGCATTAACAACACAGAAACTTGGTCTAGTGCACTGGCAACTTGTGACAACCATCTAGGTTCTTGTTCTTGTTCTTCTACAGGACTTGTCATCCACAAGTCTTTTTTATTGAAACAGCGTATTTCCTTTTTGTTTAGGTATCTTTCATGGCAAGCTTAAACATGTAGAATTTCCTCTGTGGGAATGAATTCAACTGAATGGGAACATCTTTCAAACACAAATGTGTCAACTACACTGCTTTTTGTGCACACACAGCAATTTGTGTCAATACTAGAGGTGTACAGAGATGCCATTTCTGTATCTATTCAACCATAAAAATGATCTGTCTCTGTCTCTGTCTCTGTATCTGTATCTGTGTTTGGACAGGAGAACGGAAGTGGGCATGATTTATACCAGAAGTCACAATATACCTAATATTCATTGACAACAAAATTGTTGTGCCTTCAAAGCATCAAATTTATTTAATCATGGTATATAATTAATTATGAAATATATTTTCCAACTGCATACTGTACTCTTCATCTCTCTTTCTCTCTACCGTAACCGTAACCTCACTGTCACGGGGATGCCCCGTGACCTCTAATGGTAAAAGACAAACACACACAATGCTTGTCCACCTCCAGGCATTTTCACACACCATCTAGCCGGCAGGTGTCTGGGGTTGGTAATTAGCACAATTAAGGTTGAAACCCGGTAGTTGTAGGTGTGTAGTTGTTTTGGTGCTTCAGTGTCACAGGCACATTTACATGAAGTCAGGAAGAAAAGTCTGACAATATTGTGGTTTTAAATCTCTTTATTTGACTAATTCTTTTGTGTGTCTCACCTCTCCTCTAGACTGCACTTGGCCAACCTCTGGTTTGGACTCAGGAACTGCCAAACCAGACCCCACCCATCTGGATTCCTTTTATAGTCAAGTTCCTGGGGGAATGTGCCAAGTGTAGTATGGATGAGGGGGAGTTTTGGGGAGATATTTGTGCAAGTGTTGATTTTGAGCAGTTTAAGAACATTTTTACTCTTTTGGAGTGTGTAGCAATGTTTTTCACTGTTGGCTTATAAAAAGTAGTCTGAAGAGTATGAATTAATCACTGCTGATTGTTGATTGATTTATTAATTGTATTTCCCATGTGTAGGAGGAGCTACGGTCTATATATGCAGGAGTTGGAAGCTTCTCTCGAGTTTCTGAGATCTGTCTAGCAAGCCGGCCACAGCGGCTGTTACTGCCAGGGGCCCAAACTTAAAGGGGGCATAGCCCGGTGCAGAGTTGATTTTTGTTTTAGTTTTTCTTCAGTTTTGGCCAGCTGAACTGCACTGTACATATTGCTGCACCTAACCCACTGCTGGAAAAGAAAAGGGAAAAGAAAAAATTGGACTGTTGAACAGTTTAAAGTCCTCTTCCTTTTGCCTTCACCGCTCGACCAACCTTACACTCACAGTTAAAGCCCATTACGTTATTGTCATAATAACAGTATGTTCCTGTGAATGACTGAATTTAACTGTAACTTCACAGTTTATGTACATTTTATTACTGTAATTTAGCAATATGCTCCCATAGAATTTCTGTATTTCACATATGTTATTTTGATTTAGCAGTATGCTCCTGTAAAATTGCTATATTTACCTGCATGAATTTCACGATAAAATTCTAAATTTGGTTAAATATCACAGTAAAAGCTGGGGAGATAATAATAACGTAATTTACTGTGTTACATATTGTAACTTCCTGGAAATAATTTGCAGTGTAAAGAAAAACATTTTTAGAGAAACATACTGCTGAGCAAATTACATTTTCTACAAACATAATCAGGACATTTTGCTAATTTAGGTGTCTAGCAAGTCACAAAAATATTGATACTAAAGCAGTTAGCAAAATTGTTCACTGACATATTCCAGTTATCAGCAAAATGTTCAATGACAACATATTGGACAACATATTGGTTGGACAACATATTGGTTGTCCAGACGTGAACCTGCAGTTATGGTGTCAAGGTCCTGCACTTTTTTATGTCCATAGTCCTTCCTTCAACCACTTCCATCTGAAGCCTCCGCAGTACATGAGTGTAATGTTCCCTTACTTGAAGGAAGCATCATCTCTGAACATAATCCAGGCAACGATTACATTGCCACAACACTGCAATTAAGAAAGCAGTTTGGTCACATACAAATGTAATTTCTAGGAGACAGGGTTGGAGAGAGAGATGAGGAAAGAAATACAGCCCAGAAATGAGGATTGTTTCTTCGAAGAGCCAGCATCATGAATCCAAAATTCACAAGGAGAATCTTCACTACATTTGGAAAAGAAACAGCTGAGAGGTGAAAATGTGTACAGATGATAGCAAATTCAATCAAAAACCGACTTACAGGTCTGTTGGGGTGATGACACATCCATGGCCCATTTAGTAAGGACAAAATGTTCACTGTGATGCAAATGATGTGTTTGAGCTCACTTACCGCGACGCTAAAATTAGATGAATTGATATGGAGGTAAATAAAATGATATGGAGGGATTGGATTTTAAAAACACCCAGGTTCCAGTTTTTAGCAGTTATCAAGTTAGCTTAAGAAATCTCCTGCATGAAACTCTGGATATTCAAATAACTGAGGTCAGGTAACTAACTACCAAACTGTCCTCTCGTGAACAGGAAGCACTGATGGCGTCACATGTGGAGCTCCTCTTTGGAGTTCTGGAGGACTTGGGGAATGAGGAGCTCAAGCATTTCCAGTGGTTCCTGAAGCAGGCTGACATCATAGAAGGCTTCCCAGCTATTCCAAAGAGCCGGCTGGAGAAAGCTGACAGGCAGGACACGGTGGATCAGATGGTGCAGACCTACGGCCTTTGTGAAGCTCTGCAGATCACAGTGGAAGTTCTGAAAAAGATCAGCAGGAATGATTTGGTGGAACATTTTCATGAAAGTGGTTCTGAAGCTAACCGTGAGTACTAGACAGATTTCAAGTCTTTTACACCTTTGATTGGCTGGCACTAAACCAAAATTATATATGAAATTCAGTTCCTGGATTTCCATCATTTTGAGCAAAAAGGAGGGCCTCTCTAAAGGTTCTCTCTCTCTCTTTCTTTTTATCTCTGTCTCTCTCTCAGAGGTTGCCACAGATGTTGGAGAGACTTCAAAGATTAAAGGAGCTTCTTCCATTCAACAGGCACACAAAGTTCCTTGTCCTCCCACCCCTGGTGCTCAAACTGAAGGTGAAGCTATTTCAGTTTACAACTAATCATTCTTTTGGTCACTACCTAAAGCTCATGACCATAGCTAAGGGTTGAGACATAGATGGACCGGTAAATCAAAAGCTTTTCCTTCTTGCTCAGCTCCCTCTCCAGTGCAGTGCCCACATCTCTGCTCATGCCACGATCCAGACTGCCGATCCATCTCATGTTCCATTTCACCCTCACTTACATACAAACCACTGTGTGCTTTTTCATAGAATATCATATGAACTATCGTATGAGGAGACAGTTCTATCTGATATCAGCCACTGCTTGGCAGCATTTTTAATTTGTTTTCCTATAATATCCACCACTGTCTGCTAAAATATGATAAATCTTATTATGGTTGTGTTTGGGAAACAAAACATTTGGTAAGGGTTAAGGGAAACTGTAGTTTTGGTTAAAGAGTTATGATTTCAACTGACTTAAACCACAAAAAAATACTAATCAAATTTTTATTATGTAGTCAAATAACAATCAGTCGCTAACCGTAACGAAGGAGTTTAGTGACCAAAACATAAAAACACATTGGACGCAGGGCATTGTAAGATCCAGGAGATTTATACCCTACACTGAAGAATGTGACTTTACTCCATACAGATTTGTTGGTACCAGTACCAAAGCCTCCACGGTCCATCATATCATACCAACGCATGCTCCAGTCGAACCTCCAGAACAAGTACATGTGTATACCAGAAGGTTTGTCAAAGACTAAGGATAAGAAACTTCTTGATGACATTTACACAGAGCTCTACATCATAGATGGAAATTATGAAGATGTCAACAGCCAGCATGAGTTCAACCACATTGAAGTGACATCAAGAAAACCTGAGGGAACTGAGAGATTAATTCAACACAACGACATCTTCAAACACCCGTCTGGGAAAAACACACCTGTAAGAACAGTGCTGACCAGTGGGATTGCAGGAATTGGCAAAACGTTCCTTATTTCAAAATTCATCCTGGACTGGGCTGAAGGAAGAGCCAATGAAGATGTGCATCTCACATTCCCCTTCACTTTCCGCCAGATCAATTTACTGAAGGGCAGACGGTTCTGTTTGGCAGATCTCATTCACAAATGTATCAGGGAAACCAAAGACATCAGTGAGGAGGCTCTTAATTACATCTTCACAAAACTACAATCTTCAGGAAACACCAACTATGACAAGAGTAAATTCAAACTTCTTTTTGTGCTTGACGGGCTGGATGAAAGCCGCATACGACTTAACTTCAGTTACAAGGAAGAATGTTCTATTGATGAGCCACTGATGGTTAATGATCTGCTGGCATGCCTCATTCAAGGGAAACTTCTCCCTTCTGCTCGCCTCTGGATAACCACGCGACCGGCAGCTGCCAGTCAGATCCCTTTTGACTTTGTTGACATCATGACAGAGGTGAGAGGGTTCACTGATCCACAGAAGGAGGAGTACTTCAAGAAGAGATTCGGAGATGTGCAGACAGTCAGCAGAATCATGACCCACATCAAGATGTCACAAAGTCTCCACATCATGTGCCACATTCCAGTTTTCTGCTGGATCACAGCTAAAGTTCTGAAGCAAATGTTGAGAGAAGATGAGAGAAAAGAAATCCCTCAAACTCTGACTGAGATGTACACAAAATTCCTTGTGTTTCAGATCAAGCAGACAGCACTGAAGTATGACACAGATAAAAACATCAAGATCATCGAGTCACTTGCAAAGCTGGCTTTTAACCAGTTGGAGAGTGGTAATCTGATCTTCTATGAAGCAGACTTGAACAACAGTGGCATTCATCTTAGTGAAGCGTCAGTATACTCAGGGGTGTTCACAAAGATCTTCAAGGAAGAAGATGGGCTGAACGAAGATCAGATGTTTTGTTTTGTCCATCTGAGCATTCATGAGTTTTTGGCAGCTGTTTTTGTGGTTCTGTCACTTTGTAATAACAGAAAGGATGTGATGGCTAAACCGCAAACACCTCTCCAACATCTACAGGTGCTTTTCAGAAAAGCATCTACCACTGAGATCTGTATGAGAGCTGTGGACAAGGCCTTGCAGAGTCCAAATGGACATCTCGACTTGTTCCTCCGCTTCCTTCTGGGTCTGTCATTGAAGTCAAATCAGGATCTATTACAAGGTCTGCTGAAAAAGACAGGAAGCAGTACAGAGACCAACAAGAAGCTAGTGAAGTACATCAAAAAGAAGATCAGGGAGAATCCCTCACCAGAGAGATGCATCAACCTCTTCCACTGTCTGAGTGAACTGAAGGACTGTTCCCTGGTGGAGGAGATCCAACATTACCTAAGAACAGGAAGCCTCTCCACAGCCAACCTCTCTCCTGCTCAGTGGTCAGCCCTGGTCTATGTGTTACTGTCATCTGAAAAAGACTTGGATGTGTTTGACCTCAGCAAATACTACAAATCAGATGAGGTTCTTATAAGAATGCTGCCATTGGTCAAAGCCTCAAGAACTGCACTGTAAGTACTAGTTTAAGTTATTCAAACACTTGCATATACTATATTTGTATTACTTTATACATTAACATTATTTTTGAAGGAGCTAGAAAAGGAATACATTTTATAAACAACTGCTCACTTGGTACCTGACACATATGGCAGATGAATTTTGCAACCTAATGCAAGCTCAGCCTGTTCTCATTCCAAGGTCATCAAATATAGTTGCTTCTTCACACCCCTTGGTGTGTGATATCAAGGCCAAAGGCACCTTTTGGTGTCTTTATGAGATGCAGTGGGCTTTCAACTAATTCCAAAGTAAACCCATCCATGGAAATATATGGCACTTCAAGCAACTGATTTAGTATAAAGAGCGAAAGTCTGTGAAGGGCAGAAGGGAGGTGAGGTGTATGAGTCAAACAAAACTGGACTTTTATGCAGCAGACTGCTGTTTATATCCCATGTAAATCCAAAAGTCATATTGTTTTAATGTAACATTACATAACTTTATGAATGGTTGTCACACACTTGTCTGGCTCACCGGATGTAGACTGTGGCTTTAAGCCTGCCATTGGGCGCTGATCTATTCCACATATCTCAAGCTGCTGTGATACCGTTGTGATAATGTTCTGCTAGAGCCACAAACAGTCAACAAATCATCTCTGATTTCAAGGGTCCACTGAGCTCCTCCAGAGCTAAAGTATAGTCAGGCATAACCTTTAGGGTACCGATTATCAAATCTTGTTTGTCTTTTTATCATTAAAAGTTGAATCCCACAGTGACTTACACATGTTAATGTTTTCTCAGGCATTTTCTTTTGTGGCGCCATTTTAATGACAGTGCTCGCCTCCTCATGGGCAAATGTTTCACCAAAACAAGTTCACCACTGCATCCTGGACTTAGTGCCGCCCAAGATGACTGGGATTGGTTTAAAGAAATGAAAACAAACCAGAGCATTTTTCCCCTATAGCAGAAATATAGTTGGTGATTCAAGACCTTTTTCTTGTGCTGACAAAGCACTGGGAGATAGGTCTGACTATGTGAGACTTGTCATACACTGTTGTCATTCACCTGAAGTTAGACATCAGTTATGTTATGTAGGACACATACTTATTTTAACCCCAAATATGATCTTTTTTCTAAACCTCAACAAGTAGTTTTGTTAAAAGGTGCCCTGTGCGTGGCTATCAGATGCTGAGGGGCGTGAAACAGTGTCAGTAACAACCTGGGAATAAGAGTTGGTACAGGTTGTTACAATGCAACCACACTAAATTACTATCATAACAAGGGTTTTTTTTATATGAAAAAAAAAACAACCTTGAAATGGTAACAACACAGAGAGGTGCTGCTGAAATTTTGTAACATCATTGAATGTAATGATTGGGTCTTTGGTCTTCTGTGTTGGTAGAATATTTTTGTTCCAACACAGTGCAGCACTCTGCAGAGTTAGTTTTGAAATTGAATTATCTCAGTGTATGCCCACATTAAGTAGCTAGCTGACTCTATGTTTTTCCCGAAGTGAAGTTATTATTGTCAGTCTTTACTCCATGATGTGCTGAGATGTGCTGCATCATGTTTCCACCCCAGGTAATACAGACGTTGTCATCGATGTCATCAAATACAAACATGTTCCCATACCATCAGCTTGTAATACATATGCGTGGGTGAAACATGGTGTAACACATGGTTGAAGCTGTGAAATGATCGTAGTTGGGTTTAGGCAACAAAACTACTTGGTTAGTTTAAGAAAAAAAATATATTTTGGGTTAATACAGCACTGACTTTTGATGTGACATGAAAATTCGTCTTCTGGATGAGCGCTCTGTGTTTGTTTGACCCATCCCGCCCACCTTACAACGACTTTCTTGTTCTTTATGCTATGTCAGCAGTCTCAATACATTCTCATCCCAACTTGTCAAATACTGTTACTTTGTCAGTGGACATACACGTCAAAATATGACATGTTACCTTCCTGCATCTGTTTTCGACATTCATAGACGCTGTGTCAATTTACGCTTGTAAGATGCATTGTGTTTTGTCAAAATAAACTTACGTTTTCACAGCAAATGTACACTTTCTGCTCATTACATGCATACTGTCTTTTCAAAATAAACTTACAGCATGGGTAAAACACTTCATTTAGAAAAAAACATAGTTTGGCTTAAAATTCACACGGGACAGGAACAGCACGCTCCTGGGTAAAAGTCCAGAGTTTGTTTGACCCACCCACCTCACCTCCTGCCTGCCCTGTGCGGACTTTCTTGCTCTTTATATTACTGTATTTGGTGGCAGAGTTATAATCTGCCACCAACCGAAGCGTACCATTCCGCTGTGAAGGGTATCTCTCTGCGTTTGTGTCTGATGTTAATGTCTACTGACAAAGTAGTGGTATTTGATGACTTGGGTTGTTGCTTACTGCCTGTAAAACTGACGTGCCCAGTGCGTATTATACCACTGCAAAAGGTGTCTCTCTGCGGTGGTGTCTGACACCAAAATCACTGACAAAGCGACAGTATTTGACGGGTTGGGAATGAGTTAGCTGGCAGCTCTGGGCATCAAATATTGCCACAGATGGGTTTAGTCTGAAATAATCTCATGCTTAAGGCCATAACAAAGCATTGATATCTGAAGACCTGGGAATGACAGTCAGCTGTGTCATGATATGCCTGGTTGTCTGAAATTAACATTTTGTGCAAATCTGAATTAAGCTACCTTCTAGGTGAAATAACACCTTCCTTGATATAATATGTGCTGTTAAAACAAAATAACTTTCCTATCCCACTCTGTCTCATTCTAAATCAGACTGAACCAATGTGAGCTCTCACACCTTTCTTGTAAAGCTCTGGCCTCAGTTCTCAGCTCGCAGTCCTCAAATCTGAGAGAGATGGACCTGAGTAACAACAACCTGCAGGATGCAGGAGTGAAACTGCTCTCTATTGGACTGCAGAGCCCACACTGTAGACTGGAAAACCTAAGGTCAGTATAGGAGAACATTTTGCAAAATGTAATAATTATAGCAAAGCTTAATCTACACAGTACTTCTTGAGTTTTTTAAGATTCCAGTTTTAATAAATATTTAATTGGCTAATTGACCCCATACTGTTTGATGTAAAATTGAATCTCTAACAATGCATATCAAAGCAAAAGAGATTGATTGCAATAAAGACTAAAAGAAAATAAGGTTCAAAGTTAAGAAGAAAATATCACCCCATTTCCAAAAAAGTTGGAACACTGTGTAAAACGTAAACAAAAACAGAATGCAATGATTTGCTAATCCTTTCTGACCAATATTCAATTGAATCCAGTACGAAGACATAATATGTAATGTTAAAATTGATGAACTTGAATGTTTTTTGTAAATATACACTCGTTCTGAATTTAATACCTGCAGCATGGTCCAAAAAAAGTTGGGATAGGAGCATGTTTCCCACTGTGTTACATAAAGTTTCCTTTTAACAACACTGAAGTGTATTTCAGTGCCCTCAGTTCCCAAATAAATTGTTGGAGTTTTGAAAGTGAAATTCTTTCCCATTGTATCTCGATATACGACTACAATTGCTCACCAGTACAGGGTCTCTGTTGCTGTTACACATTTTCAATGGGAGACAGCTCTGGACTGCAGGCAGGCCAGTCTTGACATTGTGGCCAGCTTTTTAAATTTGTGCTGGTAACAATTTGGATGGTCCTTTTCAATTTCAGCCCAGAGGACACGCCGTCTATGATTTCCAAAAGCAATTTGAAATGTGGATTCGTCAGGCTACAGCACACTTTTCCAATCGGATGTGCTCAGGGCCAGAAAAGTCATATGTGTTTCTGGATGTTACTGTAAAATGGCTTTGCATGGTAGAGCCTTAACTCCTATTTGCAGATGCAGCAAAGAACTGTCTTTAACAGCCATGGTTTTCAAAAGTGTTCCTGAGCCCATGCAGTAATATCCTTTATGCAGTCATGTTGGTGTTTAATTCAATGCTGTCTGATAGGGCTGCACGATATATCGTTTGAACATCGCCATCATGGTGTGCGCATGTGCGATAGTCACATCGCAGGATGTGCAATCTTTTCTCTTTTTGCTTCAGAAAAGCAGCTCTGAAGAGAGCACTGAAAATGAGCGACATGCAAGAGGGAGAAACAGTAAAGGTGGATTTATGCCGGGTACACACTACACGACTTTTCTGCCCATTCTAAAAGTCACTATGTCACATTACACGATTGTGGAGTCATAAAATCCTCATTACTACTACACACTACACAGTGGCACACACCAATTATCCCTGGTCGTCTTTCATGACGTGTGTTGTGTTGTCATTGGGTTATTCTTGTCCTATTTGTATTACTTTTACTATTATTTGAGTCACTGTGTCTGTTCATGTGCCAGCTGAAATGTTGTAGTCACCTAATAAGCGCCAGCAGATGGCAGGAGCTACATTTGAAGTACCGTACGCAAATATACAAGGCACTGAATCCTCCACAACAAGTTCCTACAAATGTTTCACAATAAAAGCCTATTTAGAAAATGGAGGGAATCTCTCAGATGAGATTATAAGGGGCTTTTAATCTGAAAAAAATTCATGGAAGTGTTGAATTTGAAATGAAGACGTGATGCATTAACTTCATCAAGGCAACGGGAACGGATAAAAAGTAAAAAATATAAAGATACAGAGGGATTAATAAATAACGGCCCTTTTATAATGTAGTCTGTTTCAAATGAAGCTGGTAGCCTCTGCAGCTGTGGTGAGTAAAAGCCCCGCCACTATTTTTTAATTTTCTTACTTTAAGTCATCTGGTGAAAATTCTTGTATTTTTTAATATCGCAATATATATTGAAAAAAAAATTAAAAAAATCGCAATGTCAGTTTTTTTTCCAATATCGTGCAGCCCTACTGTCTGAGGGGTCAAACGTCACAGGGATTTAATGTTGGTTTTCAGCCTTACCCGGAGATTTCTTTGGATTCTCTGAATCTTTTGATGATATTATTGATTGTAGATGTTGAAATCCCTAAATTCCTTGCAATTGTGCTTTGAGAAATGTTGTCTTTAACTGTTAGACTATTTTATGAGTGGTGACGCTCATACCATCCTTGCCTGTGTAGGACAGCTTTTTGAGGATGCCCCTTTCACACCCAGTCATGATACTATCACCTGTTAACAAAGCTGTTTACCTGTAGAGTATTCCAGGTGCTCCAAACAATTTCGGAGCATGTTGCAGGCATTAAATTCAGAATGATTGTAAGTTTATCAGTTTGAACATTTAATATCTTGTCTCTGTACCGTATTCAATTGAGTATAGGTCAAAAAGGTCAAATTATTGCATTCTGTTTCTATTTACGTCTTACACAACATACCAGTTTTGGGGGGGAATTGGGGTTGTAGACAAGTACAGTACAAATGAATGATACACTGCCACATGCAGGTTGTCAAGATGTGAGGTCATAGAGGAAGGCTACGTGTCTTTGGCCTTATCCCTGAGCTGCAACTGCTCCCATCTGAAAAAGCTGGATCCGAGCTACGATGAAGAAAGACCAAGAAAACTAAGAAAGAATCCACTGTCTCTGAAAAAGAGAATCGGGCTACGTCGACTTTCATATCCATCGTACAGTATCTTTTTATTTATTTATCATTGACTTACTCAAATTTTAACTTTAGTGTCTTTGAATATTTGTGATTCATTGGTATTTGACAAAAACTGTTACAATATAGAGTGATTATAAAATGATGAACACTTTACACCAGGGATGACAGTCAGTACAGCACTGTGAGTTTCATTATGTCTTTTGAATTTATTTAATTGCAAAGGATGTACTTTCTTTAGGCCTATATATTTATTAACCCACATACTATGATCTTACCATTACAGTGTGATAATAAAACTATTGTACAACAATTCACAGCAACTCACATATTACATGTTACATATTTATTGCTGTAGGCTACATAGTATTAAATTATTATTTATAATACATATTGACTATCTTTTAATTTCTATTTTTTCTTTGACCAAGATACGCTGAGCTAACAGGGCCATGCTGTCACAATGTGGGACAATACTGCAGCCTGAGAGAGCTGGACCTGAGTAACAACAACATGAACTTTAAAGGACTAATGCTGCTTTCTCCAGGACTGGAGAATCCACACTGTAGACTGGAAACTCTCAGGTCTGTTCACGGTTCTTTCACTTGAGCCAGTCATATGGTTCTGTATTTCTTTTTTTGTTACAGACAGGCGTGTGATTAGCAAAGGACAAAAACGCAGAAAAATATCACAGGCCTAAGCTAATTTGGGGTCGCGCCAAGGTTCAACTAATGGTGTTTGTAAATAACTTGTGCTCTGCCCATATGATGTTCACGTAACTTAGAACTCATATAGGTATTTACACACCTTGTTTTTTCTGTTTAAATCAGAGAGGATGTTGTGCTACTGCTTCCCTTTTTTTGACAAAATCTTGGTATATCCACGACTAACTTTTGGACTTTGTGATTGACTTCCACGAATATCCCTCTCTGATTGGTCTTGTGTTGTGTGTCTGCTGACATAAGATACAAAATTATAACACTTCCTTTTTTTTAAGTGACAATTCACTACTCAAAATTTTTATTTTTACTTAGGGCTAAAGAAAAATATCCCAAATGCCCAGGCCTGGTCTGGCACTATAAACACCCACCACCACCCCCTCACCCTCCAAAAAATATATATTTCTTTTACAGATTTACATGATCCATGTAGGTCACATTTTCAGGTAGAAAAATCTGGAATTCTAGATTAAGGCCCTGATCACACAGAAAGTTTTTTTGCAGGTTGCCCAAACGCAAGGCGCACCGCACTGCCTTTTTAGAATTTAAAAAAAAAATTAAATACCACTAGGAAAAATTCACTTGCAGTGCTTTTTTGTTGGCACATCACCTCCGTACCCTAACCTTTCCCTGTCATCAATCTACCATTTATTTTTTCAATGTTATTTATTTCACAGTACTAGCTAGTCACTAAAATGGACAGGTGGAGAGTACTTGCTGTAGCTCTGGTTGAGGGTGGGAGGCTGTTTGTAAATAGTTTGTTGGGCACAGGGAAACGAGGATCTGTGTGGAAACATGAAACCCTAGAAAAGAGGGTGGATCATGGGGAATGCCATCAATTGGTCCAGGAGCTTCACCCCAAGATGGCTGTTTCAAGTACTGCACTTCTATGCTTCCACACCTGCTGTTTTCTATTGAGATCATGGTAACTATGGTTTGTAAAGTTGTAGCTCTGGGTATCCAGCAACTGCTACCACCAGTTTCTCCTCCATTGTTTGCGAACTGTAAACTTGTTGTCGTGACCCACACAGATGGCCTGCCCCTCAAATCATATGATTGGACAATGGGAAAAAAAGCAGAGATTATGTTGGGTGCTTTTCTGCTCTGAGTTGAAGTTTTTTCAACTGAAGTCCAGAGCGCCAAAAATGCCAGGCACCTAGAGTGCAGAAATGCGAGGCACTTAGCAATGCAAAAACAGCAAGCAAAAAGTTTAATTCTCATTAAAAAAAAAAAAAAATCCAAAAATCCGCCTCCAGCTGCTAAAATGCTTTCTATGTGATCAGGGCCTAAATTGGGAAAATCACATCCCTGTATATAACATCTGTCATGGTGTATAAGAAAATTGCTAAAATGTCTGTACCTATCCTAAATATTATTATGTTAAAGCTCATCAATCTGAAACAAAAAAATTGTCTCCACTAAATCTTCTTCAGTCTCAGTGGGTGTAACCTGTCGATGTACAACTGTGTAGATCTGGCCTCAGCTCTAAGCTCCCATTTCTCCAGTTTGAGAAAACTGGATCTGAGTAACAATGACCTGCAGGATTCAGGAGTGAACTGGCTCTCTGGTGGGCTGGAAAGTCCACATTGTAAACTGGAAACACTTAGGTTAGTAACCCTGAACTTTTGCTTTTACATAGAGATATCCAAACCTTATTTCCAGCATGCCAGCATAAACGTGGTCAGTGGAGGACTGAGCATGTACTCTGACTCTTAGGTTGTCAGGTTGCATGGTCACAGCGGACGGATGTGGTTCTTTGGCCTCAGCTCTGAGCTCCAACCCATCCCATCTGAGAGAGCTGGACCTGAGCTACAATCATCCAGGAGAGTCAGGAGTGAAGCTGCTCTCTGCTGGACTTGAGGATCCACAGTGGAGACTGGAGACTCTCAGGTATGAACAGTTTATTAGCTGATTGCCTCTTATGCAGAGCTGCCACTTACAGATGCAGTTCACTGACTCAACAACTACCGGAGCTCCACAGGGACATTTTAGACCCTGCTAATTTAATGTTAGTTAGATATTTGTCAAAATATAAAGCAGCATTTGCAAGATTGAAGGCAAATCACTTTTTGAAAAGAACTGCAGGTGGCAGTGAGCGACCAAGATTAGCCACTTGAACGAACCATAAAGCAGTGGTTCCCAACTGATCCAGCCACGGGGGACAAGTTCTCTCCTTAGTCATTAGTGCAAGGTCCACGTAGTTTAATAATCAGCACTATACTTGCAACCCCCTTTTGAACCTTGACCCACCAGTTGGGAACCACTGCCATAACAGTCTATGGGAGTCTAACTAAGCTTACTGCTACTTTGTTAACATTTGTCCAATTGAATTATCCCAATCCTAATGAGTTCGCAGAAGCTCAGATCCAGGCTCCATTAAGAGGACACAGCAGCTCAAATCTGTATCTGGTCTGGAAACATTTTATACAACTGGAGTCTTTTATAGTGTTACATTATTTGCTGAATTTATGAATTTTCATGGTTAAAAAGTCCTAATACCTGTTGCATTTTTTAAAAGGCTGCTGAGCAGTTTGACACGTTTTTTATTTTGAACATAAAAACAAAAACAAAGTGCAAAGTGATCCTACTTAAGAAAACTCTGTGTGAAAGACAATTGTATCTGTTACTAGGTCTTCACCAGGGTCCATGTCATTGGTTCGACAGCCCATTGGTTCGACATCCCATTAGTCTGACTGTCCGCGGTGCTGAACAGCTCGCGGCGGGCGTATGGTGCGCCGCGACCGGCTTGAGGCGGAGCAGGCTCACGGCTTATGAGTTTGTCACTTTCTTTTTCATTTTAATCCACACCATGATCTTTTCCTAACCCTAACCAAGTGGTTTTTGTGCCTAAACCTAACCAGACCTTAACCACAGGGCATCATGATGATTTCAGAACGGACTTTGGAACAAAGAGTTTAATATGGTCGGAACAATGGGATGTCGAACCAATGGGCAGTTCCCCTTCACCATAGGTTTGAGCTATTGAACAGTCTGCATGATGTAAATTTTGTCATTTACCCTTGACCAGTGGCGTTTTTAGGTGGAAAAAAAATAGTGGGGCATCAACTACTTTGGACAGATGTAAAACCAGAAAATTACAATGTGCTATACAATGCACTATTTACACAGATAATCCCACCAAGAAAATACCTGTTGGCCACAAGTGGTCATACTTCTCAGTGCCCCTGTATGTGCTGGCAGTTTGCTATCTTTCAGCTCATCCAGCCCCAAATGAGCTATCACTTCTGTCTATGTGAACTGTCTATGGACTGTACACATGGAAGAATGTGTGAACATGTCTGTGACAGTCAATTTTGTTCTAACAGAACTGCATATGGTTCCACTTTCTGTCAGTGTCAGTTTTGTAGTACATCTGGTCCAAAAGGATAATCATGCAAGCAAGTCTTCTGCCAAGCACAGGCACAAATTGATCATGATATTCCTCTTTTTTCCTGCTTCAGTGTTGATCATTGTGGAGAGTTGAGGATCTTGCCTGGGCCAAGGAAATGTAAGTACTACTACTCTCACTCTACCCTTCTCTGATTAAGGCGAGCAAAAGTCAGTGTCACCTGTTTCTGATCATATGTTCAAAGCTCCTTTGATGAATGATCCATGATCACTTGTATAGGGTCACAGGAATATTTACTCCATCTGTTTATGTGTGGTGCCATCTCACCCTGATGTCCTCGTTACAAGTTAAATACTGTTGTTTGAACAATCTAGAACTTGAGTGGGTCTTTTTCTACATAAGTAGATCTGTTTTTTGCCTTAGGCTTGTTATTTGCCCTTAACATCAACAGACACCAGTTTTTTCACCTGTTTTTTCAGGGCAATTTGAAAGAATCAGAATCTGGTTTATTGCCAAATAGGTTTTCACACACAAGAAATTTGCTTTGGTGGAGCAAATGATATAGCCTGGCATTGCCAGACCCAATTCGCAAAAAGCAAATGGGTCTGGACACGGAGTGTACATTTCCTCTATTCCCGAGGGGCAGTATCAATGGCTGCCCCTTCACGCAATTGGAAAGACGGAAAACCAATCAGAGTAAACGAAACGTGTGACGTAGGCTTGCACAATGCCACTGTAAACAGACCAGCAAGCTGCAGCAGAGATGAGCTGTGATGATGTTTGGGAAAGAGTGTTGCTGCCTTTGCGGATTTCCTCCTCACTGTGGACTCCCAGTTGCATGGCTGTGATTCCAAGCTTGGTCGCTTCTCTGACCTGCTCCTCCATGAGAGCAACTAGCGGAGAAACAACAATAGCCATTGGGTTTTCACTGGGTCCCATCTTCTTCCCAATCAACGGAGCCAGTTGGTAAATTAAACTTTTACCAAACCCTGTAGGACGGACAAAAAACACATCTTTTTTTTCAATAAAAGCTTTCAATGCAGCTGTTTGTTCTGAAAGAAATTGTACATTCCTGTTCGTTCAACACATTTACCATTGCAGTTTCAAAATCAGTAGCCATGTTGGTTGTTCACAAAATGCATTCACTCCGCTCCTTGTCCCTCCTATTCTGATGACGCGCCTGCCCCAAAGTAATAAATGGTTGTGATTGGCCCGGTAAGCTTTAACCGATGCCAGAATGAGCCTTAATGATTGCATGGCCAGACTGATCTGCGGAACGAAATAGAATATGAGCTCGATTAGGATTAGGAGATTAGGATGCTTTCACCAGGCTATTTCTTTGATGCTTTTTTTGGAAATTCTTGATAACAATACAATAACATGTGTACCATGTCAAACAATGTTTGTTTTTTTTTCCCTCTGGAGTTTCTCACTCTCCATCTGTACTCTGTCTCTCTTTCTCTACCATTTCATTTTTTCAATAAGTGCATGGACCACACTTTGCTGACACTAAGAAACAGGACTGTTATTGGCACTTTAATTTATGGGCATAAATCATCATTTTGACTGATATATTTTTACAATGTTTTCAAATATTCTCATAAGTTTCTTTGTGGTGAAACTTTAATTTGCAGCTGTTTTTGAAAGGTTCTGTGACAAAGAATAAACCTGCCTTTCGTTAAGCTCTTTAGCCACTTTAGTCATCACTGTTTTTCTTTGGATGACCAACATGTAACCTTAGACAAAATAACAATATTTGGACCAACATATACCAGGCACACTTATATTTTCAGGCTATAGAACTCCTTAGTGCCTGTCCCTTGATTCATTTATCTTACAAAGCATCTAATATTTAAACATGACTGTAATGTTTCAACAACAGACAAACAAATATGATGTTATTATTATTATTAGTTTTTTAAAGAATGTGTAGAGAGTGTAAAGATAACTTTACACTTTTACACTCCTAACTCCCAAGAGATCACCTCCTGGGGTTAGGATTGTAAAGTGTAAAATTCAGTTCAATTCAATTTAATTCAATTCAATTAAATTCAATTCAGTTCAATTTAATTTAATTCAATTCAATTCAATTCAATTCAATTCAATTCAATTCAATTCAATTCATAAAGCCAATTATCACAAATTACTATGTGCCTCAGATGGTTTTAAAGCACACGACATCCCTCTGTGCTTTGGACCCTCACATCGGATGAGGAAAAACTCCCTCAAAAAAAACCTTTAACAAGGTTGAAAAGGTGGTAGAATCCTCAGGAAGAGCAGCTGAGGAGGGATCCCTCTTCCAGGACGGACAGACGTGCAATAGATGTCGTGCAGAACAGATGGACATAATACATTCAAGTCCCTAAAGTTCATCTTCTGGGGTTAAGACTGATTAATGAGCTCCCATGAGTTTTAAGAGGTGTTAATGTGTGCCTGTGGGACAGAGCCAGAAGCCGTACAAGCTCTGAAGAGCCTGTACCACTTCTTGCTCTTCTTTTTGGCAGTTTTTTCCTCTAGCTCTTCAATGCGCGACCTCATGGTGGATTCTGTCTGCTCCATTGCCTGCAGAGTCTCATTCAGGTTCTCTCTGGCCTGAAGGAGAGATGCCCTCTCTTCCTGCCAGATGTTGCGCTGACTCTGCAACTGTCCCTCAACCTTTTTCAGAGCCTCAACAAGGGTACTGTTCTCCTGTTTCTCCTTGTTGAGCTGAGACACATACTTACCTCTGAGATTTTCTGCCTCTGCCAGCAGGGACATTTTCTCCTGCTGCCATTGGAGACAGTCACTCTCCATCTGTTCCCCGGCCTTGTTTAGAGCATCAACAAGGGTGCTGTTCTCCTGCTTCTCCTTGTTGAGCTCAGACATGTAGGTAGCTCTATCTTTTTCTGCCTCTGCCAGCAGGGAGGTTTTGTCCTGCTGCCATTGGAGACAGTCACTCTGCAGCTTCAGGTTGTATCTTAACTTTAGAGCAGCCATGTAGTTCTTGTGTTTCCTCTCAGTCGACTCCAGCTGCGCTGAATGGAGGCTTTGCAATTCCTCCAGCTTTGCAGTGAGGACAGACTTTTCTTCCTGCACTGGCAATGTCTCATGTCCATTTCCTGGTCTGCTTTCTTCAGAGAGAAGGTGAGCTTGTCATTGTCCTCTCTCTGTTTGGCCATCTCAGCCACATGAGAGGCTCTGGATCTCTCCTCCTCAAGCTCGAAGCTGACGCGTTCACTTTTGAGCAGCTCCTCTGCCTTCTTTAAGGCTGCAGCGATCCTCTTGTTCTCTGTTCTCTGTTTCTCCAGTTGTAATTGAAGGGAGGCATGGGATCCCTCCAGAGTCTTTTTGGCCTCTTCCTTCTGCTTTTGCAGAGCTTCCCCCTTCAGAGTCAGTCTCTGCTTAAGCTTTTTGTTTTGAGCCCTCTCAGATGCGAGATTGCGCTCTAGCACTTCTGCTCTGCTCTTGGTCGTCTCAGCGTTGTTCTCAGCTGCTGCTTGCAACTGCTTCGCAAGACTTACCTCCGACCGCATGCACTCCACTTCAGTTTCAAGGGCAGCTTTTGCTCCCTTTACCTCTTCCAATTCAGCCCGCATGTCCGTAATAATGGAAGGCTGCTGCTCCAGATTTTTCTGGGCTTGCTCCCGCTCGACTTTTAGTTGGCTTTCTGATTCCAACTCAATGTTGGTTTGAGCCAATGCAATAAATTGAATATGGTGATGCACCTCCAACTTCTTTGCCTCCAGTTCTCTATCAAGGGCCAATTTCTCACCCTTTATCTGCTCCAGTACAATGTGCAGATGGCAAATTGAGGAGATTAGCATCTGCTGTTCTCTCTGAGCTTCAGACATGTTGCTCTTCAAATGTCTTCTGGCACTCAGCTCCAACTGCTGTGCCTCGAATTGTTTGTGATGGGCATCCTTGGCTCTCCTTACCTGTTCCAGCTGAGCATGCAGGTCTTTGTTGGTGGTGGCCTGCTGCTCCAGATCTTTCTTGGTTTGTCTCAGCTTTGAGCTGATCCTCGCCAACTGCGTTCTGAGGTATTTCATGTCGCTGGTTGGACGCTGGCCTTGTTTGGCCTGAGCCAAATCCAACTGAGCTTTTAGGTCACAGATCTGCCTCTGCAAAAGCCCTGTCTCCTGTTTCCACTCAACATTCTCCTGCTGTTCCTGGAGTCTGTCGAGGAAACTGGCCAGCATGTCCTCTCTGACATTCAGGAGGAGTCTACCCTCAACCGCACTTTGGCTGACCTTGGCCTTATCATCACTCAGTTCACTTTGGAGTTGTTCTTCAAGTGAACTGAGATAAAAATCTACCTGAGGTTCCATGTCTGTAGAATCTGATTCCCTGACTTCAAGGTTGGTATTCAGTAGTTTTCTGAGACTGAGCTTGATTTGGATCGGCTGCTATCACAGTGAAACTCTCTGAACCAAACTTGGGTCTGAGCGAATCATGTCTGGACCAAGATTCAGCCCCTATACACAAATTTTCAGCATCAAAGAAAAAAAGACTTTATGACATCACAAGACACAATGATATCATCAAAGACACGATGACATCATGAAATTCACTTTATGTCTGGTTCACACCAGGTTGTTTTGTGCAAATGCAATGTTTCTGAAGGGGCCCTAAGGTCACCAGATGGCCATTCTCTCACCTGTTGGCACACTCATCCCCAATAGAGATGAGACCAAGGAATGCAGTATCCTTGAAATTAACTGCCAACAATATTGAACATCCAAAATGGTTATTGCTTTTCTGAATGGCTTCAAAACTGGAAAAGAAACTTTCCATCAGTATCCATAAATATTTCCTGGTAAACAACATCGTGTTAAAGTCATCATTGTAAGCATGTGCCCAAGTACAGCTTTACAGTGCTGCTAGCATGGCTGACTGCAAGAAGCATGATGGTTTTGACAGCCTGAAAAAGCAATAATACCCAGGGATGGACTCTCGGTAGTCCTCCACCTGTCTCTTCACAGAAATCAGGGGCAGTATTCACAAAGCTCCCTAGTGCTAAGAGTTGAAATTGTCAGGAGTAGGAAGGTTTTAGGAGATTATGGTGGAAACACAAAGAGAATAGAAAAATATTCTGCAAACACTGGATGACAATGAGTAAATGAAATGCTACAGATTAGATCGTGCAGGGATAATACTTGTGGTCAATCTCATTAGGGGCACACACACATTTTCCACCCAACACACTTATTCTGTAATGCCAGAAATAAACTGATCACAACACTGAGATATTTGAAAGACTGTAAAAATGTAACAGTGCAGCAGTGATGACTTAGGTCTGTCTCAACCTTCCATTAATAGAGTGATCACACTAACAATGACAACACTTTCACTTGGCAGTTCATTTCATTTCCACTGAGTGTCCACAACTTGCAGGCTAACAAAAGGGCATGTCTGTGACAACGAATCACATTTATTAAAAGAATGCATCATACCTAGCAACAGGGTCAACCACACCCTCTCACTAAGATAAAAGTTTCCTTCCTTGCTCAAAGTTGCTCTGAGAACTTTCCTAAATCACTCCTAAACTAAGACTAAAAAGATTTAGGCTAAATTAGGAGCTCCGTGAGAGTATTCACAGAATGTTGGTGAATACGGCCCCAGATGTTCAAGATTAAAGGGAAAATGTAATCCTGATCCCCCCACAACTGAAATAACTATTCTCTGTGAATTATGTTGCACTTCAATAAAAACTGTCCATCTCCTTTCCTCCTGGCAGATGCCTGTGATCTCACACTAGACCCAAACACAGCTAACAAGAAGTTTTTCCTGTCTCAAGGTGACAAACAGGTCACAAACGTAAGAAAGGAGCAGCCATATCCCGATCACCCGGAGAGGTTTCAATACAGGTACCAGGTTCTGTGTACAAATGGTCTAACTGGATGCTGTTACTGGGAGGTAGAGTGGAGAGGACAAGCTTCTGTAGGAGTGACATACAAAGGAATCCAAAGGAAAGGGCGCGAGGATGACTCTCTGCTTGGGTGGAATGACAAGTCCTGGTGCTTCAACTGCAGCAAGAACACTGTTTTGCACAACGGAAAAGGCTCAGACACACTTAAAAATTCCTACCATGGTTCCAACAGAGTAGCAGTGTATCTGGACTGGTCTGCCGGCATTTTGTCCTTCTATAGAGTCGTCTCTGACACACTCATCCACCTCCACACCTTCCACTGCACATTCACTGAACCCCTCTATCCTGCACTGAGGGTTCTTGGCACATATTCATTTGCATTACTGTGCACCTCTTAGTGACTGCATTGAAAATGTTACTAAAGTAAAAGTATGCAAAAAGAAGTAGAAAAACGAAAGTCTAGTCTGCAGGATTTTGTGGATTTCATGAGATTGCAGATTGCAACCAACTAAAACTTCTCCCCTGGGCCAAGTGTGTAGAGAACTATGGTCGCAAACACTAAACTCGTGTACCCGTATCTAGAGCCAGTGTTTGGTTTATCTGTTAACAAGGTGACCAACTCCATGCAAGACACGGAGTCGGCCATCTTGTCTCTATAGCCTCACCCTAGGTAGATATAAACGGCTCATTCTAAGGTAAAGAAAACAAAAAGATTCTTAGTTTAATGTGATAACAAGCTAATAAAAACAAATATTATATACCAATTTCTGCCAATTGATGTCTCTAAATCCTACACACTGAACCTTTAATTGTATTTTCGTTGTGTAAAAAGTCTTGTTCAGTGTTTTTTGTACCAAAAGACCATCTAAGGAGAAGGATATTTAGTTCTTCCAGTAAGTCAATTTTGTCTTAATGGTTTTAAGCCTATTTTTTGCTAGCTAAATTAGCATAAGTATAGGCATTATTGCAGGGAACCATAATGCACTATGCTGACAAAGCTAGCAGCTAGAATTAGGGTTATGTCCACCCTTGTGCAACCACCTAAAACCTCTCCTAAGTAACAGAACTATGATGGCTGACGTGAATAAGTGAATGGTTCTATCTAGAGCCAGTGTTTCGTTTGTGCGTTCTCAGCAACTGTAGAACAACATGTTGAACTCTGTGGAAAAGGACCCGCTCTGTATATAGATATAAACTGCTTATTCTAAGGTACTGAAGACCAGGTTGTTCTCATAAACAGTTTGTATGTTTTCCTACGAAAAGTAATGCACCCAAATTTGTACATATCACACTTATTTTGAAGGCTGAAATCACGTGACCAATGCGCTAATGGGAGTAAACAAGGAAGCAGTCCCTAGCTGTCTTGTAAGGAGCCCATCCACTGTATATAAAGTTGGATGCCATGACAGATCCCCAAAGGCAAAGCTTAAAATCTTGATCACCTCTGGTGGCTGGCTGCAGTACAGGTCATAAAGCCCACCCTCTCCATGTTAGTGGATGGGACATGGGTCAAACTAAAAACTCAAAGTACACATCAAGTACATTTTTCCTAAAAATGGTTTCTTTCATTTAAGGTAGTTTTTATCACGCTGCTGTATGTTCAAATGTTTGTTTTTCTTATAAGTTTGGTTTTAATTAGTTATTTATTGGTATAAAACAGGGATTTTACAACATGAATGACAACTGTGTGAGCCAATTGGTGGGCTCGTATTCAGTGGCGCTGCTTGTGATCGGTCGGATGGGTGCATGGATGAGAAGTTTAATACTGCAGAGATCATTACTGTGCAGACTCTGGCTCCAAATGATGCCACCAGAGCAAGATGGCAGCTGCCACATCTGGGTCATTTTAGCTTCGCCTCTGTATAATGGGGGGTAAGCAGAGACACATCGTCCATCTTTATGCAGTCTATGAAGGAGGCAGGTTGGGTTGGTTGATGGTTCACACAGAGCTGGACTTACTACTTACTTACTTATTATATTACATTTCTACCAATATATCACCCTAAATCCCACACACTGGACCTCTAAATTATGAAAAGTAAAAGTACTAAGCATATAAAAATAATCCCTGTTATGTATTATATCATTAGATCATCCTAATGCAATAATTTGAAAGCAGCATTTTACTGATGTAGCTGGTTGAGGTTAAGCTATTTTTAAATGTTTGTATATAGGATAGCGACAATTGACTATCTGTAATACTGATTGATCTATTAATTATTTTCTTGATTCAGTGTTTGGTCTGTAAATTGTCAATACATAGTGAGAAATGGCATTCCAGTTCACCAGAGCTCAAAGTGACATCTTTAAATTTCTTCTGTCCAACCAAACAGTCCAAATCATTCAGCTTACTGTAATTTTAGAAGGAGAATTTTAGAAGAAAATGCAGTCATTTTTTTTTTACATTCAGGGAGCTAGAACCATTAGATAATTGTAATTTTTGCATGAACTAAATGCAGCCCAATCACCAGAAATAATGTTGCCTTTGTATGTTTTTGCAAACCACAGATATGTTACATTTGCACATTATTGTGTAGCAATTAGGTTGAAACTTGACATTTCAAGAATGCTGTGGTTAACACGTGGTTAGGTTTAGGCACAAAAACCACTAGTTACGAAAAGATCACATTTGGGGGTCACAATCCGGGCAGGGAAAATAGCAATGTCTCAGGAAAAAACAGCCACTTTTTTGGCCTAAAAAAGCTGCTGAAAACACAGCAATGACTTACTAAATCCAACTTTTTTTGTTTGTTGGTCTCAAACAGTGATCTGCAGTGGTATGCAGCGTGGCTCATTTTTGCCACTTCCCAATGACAAAGTCAGCTCCAATACTATCTCACTTTAGAAACACTGAAATGTGTAAGTGTAACATCAGTGGTTTCCAGAAACGTACAATGCTAGTATTGTCTTCTGGTGAAGGAACTGGGGATAGAATGTCTGTAAAATCTGATTCAATTAAATGCTGATTAAACAGAGGTTTTCATCATCGGCCCACATACACAGATTAAGCGCCATAATGTGGATCCATTGTTAACAACATGAAGCTTGTGGTGAAAAACTTGGGAGTATTTAAATTATGATTTTACAGATTTACAGATTTTACAGTTATAAGTTTTACATACATAGTCCCTACATACTTTTGTTGCATGCCTTTTATGCCTGACATCTTATTATGTTTTACATGCTGCACAGATTTCTATTCTATATCTGATTTATTGTTCTCTGCCATGTTGATTTTATTGATTGATTTTGTTTGTTAATATTGTTTAAGGACATTTTTAAGTGTTTATCAGTGTAAAAGATTTGCTTCACCAACTTTTGATATTCATTATCTGTTTATACAGCAGCCTCTGGGTGTACACAGGAGAAGCTGAAACCATATATTTCACATTTTTATATTGTTTATAAATACTCAAATAAATGCCTACATTTTCTAAAATGGAGCAAGTTTGTTCATCCTTTTACCACCACTACTTTTCTACCAATGATAACAATAATAATAATAATAATGATAATAATAATGATGATAATGATGATGATGATGATGATGATGATGATGAGGATTAGTTGCCAAAAAAGAAGTACAGACAGTTGAGCCTTTGGCTTAATGAAATTTACACAATCTCGCCATCTAGTGGCCAAACAAAATAGGTGCAAGTTTAAGGTCAAAGTCTGCACCTTAGCAAAATATGGGCTTAGAAAAAGCTGCAAAATTTGACCTAACCTTTAACTTATGAGTCGAAAAATCAAATAACACAAAATAAAATTACGCAAAGAGATTTAGGTGTGACTCTTCAGGGGTGCAGTGACTCCTCAGTGTTGTTAAGGACTACAAACGTATAGTCGCATGCCCTCCCTCAAGCACTGCCAATAGAAGGCCTCCAAAGATGCTTTTCATGACAGCAAAGAGACACTAAAAGACCAGAAACAGATGCAAATGAACTGTAATTGAAACACATAATGATACAAATGATAAAAAAGTAACACAAATTACTTCAAAGAGTCACAAAACTTAAAAGAGAAACAAAACAATTACAAAGAGACATGAAACAACTCTAAAGCAACACAAAATAATCAAAAGTTACTTCAAAGAGAAACAAAATCATTTCAAAAGAGAAAGAAAATGATCAAAAAAGAAACAAAGTTATTTGAAAGACACAATTACCTCAAAGGGAAACAAAACGGCTACAAGGAGACACAAAACAACCACAATAATACACACAAAATTACCACACAGAGCAACCATACCACAGAAAGACAATCAGTAAATACAAAGAGATGCAAAACATTAATAAAAAAGAGGCTCAACAACTAGTCTTTGTGTCTTGCTCTTATGTAAGATAGGTGGCGGGGTATTTTGCATATCTGTGCCCAGGGGCCCATTGTCTCATAATCCACCAATGGCTTCTTCATATCATGCTTCAGTATACTGAAGAAAATAAATCCTAGTTATGAAGATGGTAATAGACATACTATCCTCATTCATAAAAATCTTTGATTGTAAAGGATATAGTCACTTTTAGTGAGGATGTCAGATTAACATTTGATTGTGTTCATGCTGAACCCATCATGTCATGAATTGGATCATTTTTGTCATGTTAATGTTGATAGAAGATTTAGCATGTTAACTGACAGTGGATGTCTCCTGTTTCTGTTCATGTAACACTGCCATCTGCTGGCGACTTCTAACTGGCTTAGAAAACCTCTCGAACATTAAAAATTACAGTCAAGTTCTGACACGTAGGAACATTTATGCAATGCCACTAAGCCCTTCATTAATAGTTTATGTACTTGAGTTCATCAATTTTAACTGAGAGGCTATACAGTCCCAGGGCTGTCTGATTTTAAGCTGCTGGAAGTAAAAGTTTGGCCTTGAATGTGTAAAAATCCTGCCATACATAAACATTACTGAGTGTTCAGACTGGGTCTCAGCTGACAGATGATTTCAGAGCAGGTCAGTAAATGTGTGCTGCAAGACCAGTTGTAGTAATGATAGATTATGAAGCACTAATAGTAGTCATTGGTGAAAGTAGAAATTTAAAAGACGTGAGTATCCAAACATATTCTGCATGTGTGTCCCCTGGACTTGTACTGACAGGGTTAGAGACCTTAGAAATATTTGTAAGTGTGAATCAGTGCAAAACAGTACCATAAGATATTGTCTGGGTTTCCATCAATCTGTACCAAAATTTTGCCATAAGGGTAGACATGGGATGAGAATCACGTGAGGCTCATTGGAAGATATATACAGATCAGTTATGGAATCAGTTACTTGATATGTAAGAAAGTAGTTTGATGAGGCAAATGTTTATCTAGGATAAACAAATTGTTGGTTCTTGGTCTGGGTTCCATGAGGCTTTTTTGTTTAAAAAAAAAGAAGAAGAAAGAAAATCTCAATAATGGTTCTTTTAGGAAATTTGTGTTTGCCAAGGACATGGGCAGTGGGCTGAATGCATATACCAAAACTGGGTACTTTTATGATGATATAAACTGAATATGGTACAGAGAACTATGTTGCATAGAATTTGTCTAACAAGTAAATAGGTCTTTGTTTTCTGCAGAGGTCTGGCATTTTATCTTTGGCTGTTAAAACTGGACGATATGTTGATATGGAAGAGGAAAAACAGATCTGTGCTGTCCAAACAATATAGAAAATGAGTTCCACTTTGTTTTCTGCTGTCCTTTTCACTGTCAAACTGCACAATGCTTTGTTTAGTAAGATAAAAACAGATATCAATTTTGTATGTATGTGAGATACAAAGAGTATATTGACACCTGTCCACATTTGAACCTTAAAAAATAGGCAGTTACTAGAAGGAAGCCTGATAGAAAAAAGAGGGCTCTTTATTGAGATAATCTGTAAATCTGTTTGGTGGTTTCTTGTGTTAGCAGTTCATTTGTGATGCTGCTTTTTCTTTTGTTTCTTGTCCTTTTCTTCTTCCAATTTTATTTCTGTACATGCAAGAGTGGATGGTTGTGAAATAACATTGTCTTGTAATCCCATGTGAGATTGGCCAAAAAAAGGCTTGCCACTACATAGAAATGAATGAATGAATGAATGAATGAATGAATGAGTACAAGTGGTTGTAGCAGCAGTAGCATAGTAGACATAGTAGCGTTAATAGCAGTAGCACTGGGGTTAGGGTTACATGAGCAGTCCTACTGTATAATGTCCTCTGTGGCCCTGGAGGAGATTTCTGAAAGAACAACTCTAATGATGTCATCAATGTTTTCTCGGCTCGGGCTTCTGATTTAAAGTTTTTAACGGGAGACACCCCAGAGGCAAACTTTTTAACTAATAGATTCAAACATGACACTTCCCCAGTTGATTACTTACACTAAGACAATTATTTTTGTATTGCAAGTTGCAAGAAATTATTATGCTTCACTATGCAATGAGGCATTATCATATCAACTATGCACTGATTTCTGCATTTCCAGAACAAAAATCTGAACATTGGATAAAGCCAGATTCATTTTTTCTTCCCACAGAGAGTATTTTCAATATCTCAGTATCTATCAGTATTTTATCACTCATATAAATCAGCCATAAAAAAACATTTTCAATACGTTTTTGAGAATAAAATGTTACATAAATCAGGCTATGAATGATTTATGATTAAAGACCTTTGTAAAAACCCTTGAAAATATAGTCAGAAATTAAACAGTGTTAAAGTGGTGTATGTAAGTACTGTTGAAGTTGAGATTTTTGGCTCACAGTATGACACAAAAACGGCCTTTGAAGATATGTATTATTACGTAGAATGTCTTCCGTTTATGTTTATTTCTTTGAGTTATAAAAAGCTTGAATTATGTTTCAGGAAGGGAACCTTTTTTGTTGCAGATTTTGTTTGCAAGGCCTGGGAGAGAAGACTGAATATTTTGTTCAAGAATGAGCTGTTATAGTATTATTGCTTCTTTTTTGGTTATTTTGAAATGAACTGAATTGTTATGAATTATCTGTGAATGCTGCAACTGTCTCTTTTGCTGTCTTATAAACCCATGAGTTTTGGGCACTTTTAGGTGCATGACATGGGAATTAAAGAAACTAACTATAACTATTCTAAAATGCAGTATATTTTTAGAGCAAAAAAAGACACTAAGGTAAAAATTTTGACTAACTGATATCACCATGAAACTTCCAACACTGATTATTTACATTAAGACAATTATTTCTTGTATTAGAAGTTTTTTTTAATATATATGTTTAACTAGGCATTATCTAATTGAACATCTGCTCTTTTTAAAAAATAAATTAACAGAACAGATAACTAACTTAAGTAAACCTAAATGTGTATTTTCACCATTTTCTTTCCACTGTTCTGATGGAGGACATGTTATGGAAGCTAAATAACCCAAAATCTCAAAATCAAAGTTGACCAGAGCATGAAAACAACAGCAACTATGTTTTCACCTGGGGGGTCTCGCCCAGATAACTTCTTCCTCTTATCACTATTATTATTATTATTATTATTATTATTATTATTATTATTATTATTATTGTTATTATTAGGTGATGTTCACATGGTGTCTTGTGGCTGCAGTGCTGCTATTAACCATCAGATGGAGCTTGGGAGCCATTTCACGGTGATTCAACCCTGTTACATCACAAGTATAATTTACATGTAAAGTGAATCACCACTACTGCCACCATTAGCAACTACAGCACTTTTACCACTATCACCACTCCTCTTTAATGTCTCTTCATGCCTGCCCACCAGTCTTTAGTGAGTATTTTTGTCTGACTGCTGAACACTACAGTAAGTAACATGTATTAAAGCATACCAATGAGCAGAGGTGAATGTGTGTGGGAAGCTCTGCTTTGAGGTAATAAAATCAGTGAGAATGCAGAACACTAAATAACTGCTGGAAGTGTTCACAGCAGGGGATTTTACCACCATAAAGCAACCTGAATCAAGTATAAACACTGTAATAGAATGCCTCTTTAAATGGTGTGGAAATGCATGAATTTCATTTGGTTTAGGTAACACAATATGATCACTTTGAAAAACATGACGTGTATTTGCCTCCAGAGAGAAGTATATGGATTTATTTCCATCTCGCTCCTCAGAGGAAGATGAAATGAGTCTTATCTGACATAAAAGACAGTAAAAGCTCAGTCTGCAGGTGACATATGTACTGTGTGTGGCACCTGCTGAACACTGACAGCAGAGGGTGCAGTGGTGCAGAGCGTCAGTCTGTCCTCTGAGATTGAGGTTTGGACAAGGTGGGAAAATAAACTTCAGAGGGGTTTCCATAAGATCCTTTTTCATGTAAAATTAGAATTACCACAATGAAAAAATACTAATACACTCAAAGAAACGATTTGGTCCATTGTCAGGTTTACATGTTTTAATTACATAAACATTTCAAACCAATTCAATCAAATAATTCTAACATAAACCAAAAAAGTACAATTTATGTAATTAAACTAGAGTGAGTT